GGCATCCCTTTATATTTCTTTTATGTACTAACTTTCTGGAATATTTTTCATGTACTATTTGTTCTTTTTTCCCCTTATAAATAAAGACGACCATTTATCTAAATCAATTCCTTTTAAGCATCTTGGGTTGAATTTAAACCTGGTGATTTATTTACTTTTGCAAAAGATAATTGCATATTACTGCACAAAGATTTTTTTGAAAAAATACAGATGCTTAGAAGCTGATCGAAGCTTAAGCACCATACCTAAGATGGTTGAAAGACACCTCCAAAATCAAGGAAAAATAACATCCTGTACAACGTGTTGAAGAATTCAAGATCAAGAATTAGAAATTCAAGAATCCGAAGTCAATAGTCATCAAGATTGACAACCAGAGATTGATATTTCTCTCCCAAATCCTAAAATAACATATTTCATATATGCATTTTAGGCACATATAAGAGCATTGCATCAATAGGATCGCATACATGCTTAATTTTGCAGGTTCATGCTAGAGTCAGTTTCAACTTCACAGCGAAGGATATTAGACTCAAAACGACGCAACTTACACAGGATTGGATTTTAACTTCACAACGAAGGATATCCAACTCAAAGCCATATTGGTGAAGCAATACTTACTTGAGATTGGATTTCAACTTCACAACGAAGGAAATCCAATTCAAAGCTCAACTTCACAACGAATGAGCCATCCACGATTTCAACTTCACAAAGAAGGATATTGTGTCCAATAGATCGACTTAATTTCACATCGAATGAGTCATCTGCAATAGCCGGGGGTTACCTCCCAACCTAGTACAACATAACTCAAGACGAGAACGGTTATCTGTCAATAAGAACTTCTGAGTTCGATTTCATTCAGCTCGAGCACGTATTTACCACAAGATAGCATCGAGGAACTACCTTCCGGTCAAATTATTCATACCAAGGTCTTTAAACCGAGAAGAAGACCAAGGTTGACTATGATTTGGCAACAAGAAGCCACCTTCCAATTCAAATTTTGAACTACGATTTCAATTTCATGAAGAAGGATGACATTGCAAGATTGACTCGACTTCGAAACGGATGAGTCATTCGCAACTCAATTTAGCAGGGAGTTCTTTCTAATTGCATTATCAGAGTCAATTTTCAACTCCACAAGGGAGGATATTAGATTCAGGGGCTCCCTCATACCGAACGAAAATTTGTGTTATTTTATTTTTGTATTATTTTTCGTTACACGAAAAAAGGACAAAGAGGGGCAACTGTAGACACCTATTTTCATCCGAAGCTTATTTTTTGAAAAAATAAAATAGTATTTAGAAAACGATTTTTTGAAAACATATATAATATATATTTTTTGAAAATATATATATTATATAGTTTTGAAAACGGTTTTCGAGAATATATATTATATAGTTTTGAAAACATTTTTGAAAACATATATATATTATATAGTTTTGAAAATATTTTTTTGAAAATGTATTATATGGTTTTGAAAATATTTGAAAACATGTATTATATAATTTTGAAAACATTTTTGAAAACATATATAATATATAGTTTTAAAAAATATTTTTGAAAATGTATATAATATAGTTTTGGAAATTTTTGAAAATATATATTATATAGTTAAATATTTTTTGAAAATATATATTATATGGTTTTGAAAAAAAAAATTAAAGCATATATAATATATAGTTTTAAAAATGATTTTTATATTATATTATATTATTTATTATTTTATTAATATTTTTTCTTTTTTTTTCTTTTTTTTTGATTAAGGTCCAATAAGAGTGTCCAAATGAGTCCAACAAGGGTCCAAGCCTGCCTGACCCCAAGACTAGGTAGCACAAATACCTAACGGGTAAATCGGGTAAACAAGAGACCCGAAGTGTGCTAGGGTTTCACGCTTGAGTCCAGCGCTGCATAACAGGGAACCTTTAGATCAAGATAGGGATTAACGGCCAGAATTACAAGAGAACTAGGGTTTGTTTAAATAACAAATATCATCACAGCGCAACCAGATCTAGACCGTTAGATCTGACCCAATCCAATGGTCAGAAAACGATCTCAGCATTCCAAGGACCAACAATGTCGGGCAGAGGAAGAACTCTTCGAGAGTCCCCATGCCAGTGGCCACCTCTCACCACCACCCCGATTTCTCGGTGCAACCAACGACCACAACCCAACAAACACAAGATCAAGTATTTCAGTCCAAGTAAAAATCAAGAACAAATTGAAAATAAGGGATTTTCTAGAGACTATAAATACATGTAAAATAGCTCTAAGAAATATATAAGAAAAGCTACGAAAAAACCAGAAGATCGAAGAAAACAAAGGCTTGTAAACTATCGTGAACGTAATAAAAAGTTTAGCTTTTTGCTTTTCTCGGTGGTAAAATTGCATGTGTGTTTTTTAGGGTATTTTGCTTTTTGTTTTTGACTAAAAAAATCCAAATAAAAAAAAGAGAGGTCGATGATCGGAGGGGGCCATAGGAAAGATCTTTCTTAGATCTAGCCATCCCCAAGGCTTGTTTTTAAAAAATAAAGGCATTTTCGAAACGAGGGTGAAAGAGGCTTACGAATGGTGTAAGAAAGTTTGAGTTTTGTCGCCGATGAACGGTGGCCAGCGCCGATCAACAGCGGCCGATGAGGCGGTGATGGCTGGAATCTGGGTTTTCTTTGAACCCAGGCGACCATGTTCTTCATTTGCGAAGAATAGTTGAGAGAAAATGTTGGGGGGTTTTGATCCGTTTGAAAGAGAATGAAGAAATGAATGTGTTTCTTCATTTTGGCATTTATACGCGACCCGATTGACCCGTGTGCCGACCTGTGACCCGATCCAAGGACCCTAGAATCCGCGTGTTTTTGCTTGAAAATGGCCTAATTGCAGTTTTAGTCCCTCGTTTATTTTCAAAGTTCATTTTACCCCTTTAATTCAATTTTAACCCCGATTTCTTTTTTAATTTTACCATCTATTTTATTTTTCTTTCAATTTAGTCCTTTATTATTACTTTTTTCCTCACGTTTTAATTAATTTCTTTTTTATTTTATTTATTTAATCTAACATTCATTTATTATTATATATATATATATACTGTTTTTTATCTTATTTTTTATTTTTCATTATTTTATTTTTTTAGTTTTTAGTTTTTATTTTCTTTTTCTTTTTATCTTTTTTTTTTCTTTTTTGACATTAGCCTTTTATTATTATTTATTTATTTTTTGGGTCATTTTTTTTATTTTATTTATTTATTTTAGCAATTGTTTATATTTAATCTTGCAATTAGTGTTTTACTTTTATTTTTATAGACCTTTTTTTCTTACATTATTATTTTTATTTGCTATGTGTTTTAATATGCGCACTTGGTTTTTATTTCTGTTAATTCCTCAACATGTATATATATATATATATATTACTTAAAATATTATAATTTAACCTTTATTTATTCTTTTGGATTCAGCATTTTACTTTACCAATCTAACGCTTGTTTGACTTTTTAAGGGTATATTTTTAAATCAATCGGAGGTAAATAATTTGGATCAAATTTTACTTTTCAATTTAACTTGCAATTTTCTTAATTAAGACAACTGAAAATTAATTAGTACCGAAAGGGCAGTTCAAGGGTGTTAATCCTTCCTTGACTGTAACTGACTCCCGAATCTGATATATCTTTGGTAAGATGCAGACCAGGTAAGAAATCAAGGTATTCGATCAACCCGTTTTTTTTCTTAAAATAAATGATCGGTGGTAACTCTAACTTGTTTTATTTAAGTTGAAGCTCAATTCCGAGCCCATCCGAAAGACGGCTGCGACACCAGAATATATATTTTTTAATTGGACGATTTTAACGCGATTCAAGCCTATAAATAGAACATTCTCAGCTTGCAAAAATATCCAAAGTAATTTATTTGCTCTCTTACAATACTCTCCTTCCTCGAATCTTTTCCTATCGTGGTTTAATAGAGAAGAGCAGTATCATTTTTGTTCACTTCAATCTTCAGATGTACAATTATTCAAAGATATCATGTTAATCTCGGGGGTCAACCGCCTACTACAACGATTACACACATCAAGGCCAAATCATTTATAAGACAGTGGTTCATACCACGACACAGTTATTCTAGTTTTTTTTAATTATTATCTAGTTAGTGCTAACGATTTGATTTTGTAATAATTTTTCCAACAATTTCTTTGTTGAATCCTCCGACTATTAAAAATTATAAAATAGTTAGCCGACTATCCATATGTTCTAAACTCATCATTTTATGTTATAAAAATTTGAGTTGTATTTTTTTGATCGAATCTATATTCATATTATATCGTCGAGCTAATGCTTGAAACAATATGCTATCGAGTTAGTGTTTAAAAGCAACGGCAATGAAATAAATATTATTAAAATAAAATTTTATCATATCATATTCAACAGGTTGACATCCAACTCAATCAATGGTCAATTTTTCAACGGAAGGTTGAGTTTAAAACATTTGAATAATCATGTAACCATTTTGTAACTTTAATAACTAAGAGACTCAAAAAGGTAATGTCCTATAATCAATAGACTTTTTTAATTTTTAATAATTAAGGGACTTAACAAAATTGCACATATAGGGGGACCCAATGCTACATCCGTGTATGGTAAAATATATACAATTAGAAACGTTCTTTGTCTCAAAATGATACATAAGATCACGACATTGTTCAATTACTGCCAAGTTGGGCGCTGCATATCAAAGCAAACAACAAAGGGGAAGGCAGTTGGTTTATCTGTGAAGTAATGGTTCTTCCATTTAATGCAACTAATATAATAATAATCCAGCAACAGCAAAGCCCTCTTTAATTGACCCCGTCCCTGGGATGTTGTCAAATGCCATTTTTGCCTTTTTGGATAAGCACTATCCTTGCTGATTAATTGTTTATGTTATTAAATAGAAGAGAGGGAAAAAAGAGGCTTAACTTGTGCAATAAAAATTGAATAAGGAAAAGAAAATAGGAATCAATCAACCCTCCCATGTTTTTATCCTGGTAAATAAGAATACAATAGACATGGATACGGTTAAAAATACTTTACAAAGTCACTATTTCAGCTAAACAAGGAAGCCATCCATATTCACATAGTTCAGTTAACATCCCAAGCAAGACTCATTCCACATTTCCTGCATTTTAATAGTCAAAGAAACCTGGTAAATTCGTTTAACCCCTCTATGTGGCAACACGTAACATCACTCGAAACAATTCAAATGTTGCATGATTCTCAAAGGCGTTCTCCCAATTGCTTCACCCAATCCACCTTTTCTCTTCACAAAAATCTACCATGCTGTAATGCAAGATTCGTTTCGAACGAAAAACGAGTGTATCATCAATCTAGTAAATGTATATAGTATGGATGGGGATAAAAGACCCTTCATAAGCATTTGAAAACTTAATATACTTGAAAACTTAATATACAATGCAAGGCATAACTGATAACAAACCAATACCGAAGAGCAGATACATCAGATGCAAAATTAAGCTATGGTGCAAAATGTTGTCAACGGTTTGATATCATGATGAACAAGCTACGAGTTGTTGATCTTACGCATTGTCATACTATTCAACCCTATGTTATTCGGATGCGGGTATGCATCCAATACAAGTATGGTCAGATTTTTCATAGTTTTTCCATGTATTTGAAGGATCCTTGGAGTTTATATCCCCATGACCAAGTGTCAGGCACGAGCACTTATTAAGAAAAGAATAGTCCGAGCAACACAAACCAACAGCTCAATTCATCTTATAGATCCAATGATCAAACAAAAACTCGAATTCAACCAGTTTGCTTCATAATTTTGCTTAAGTTTGATAAACCAAAAAAATCGTCATCATCATATAATGCTAAATTTTGGATGAAGAGTTGTGCAATTTCTAACAGATCATATGCATAGATAACTTGGTGATTATGAGATCTAATTCACAATAATGAATTTAGTACTCTAGGATAAACAATATACAGATTTTTCATTCTATATTAACACAATTCCTATATTATATTGGCAATATTGTTATGGAATTGAAATCAAATGCACATGTATCAAAATATGTATGTATAAATAGATACAGAGGATCCCAGGGTATGTTTTCTCTGTTCTTTTGGATAAATAATTTTTCAATTATTTCAACAAGGGATCAAAATAACAGAATCTAGAACAGAACATGATTTTTCCTCCCTAGTTCTTAACGGAACCAAAACACAAGGAAAAAAAATAATTACCAGGAATATCTTTTCGAGGCGAAGGAGGGGCCAAGGCATAACAAAGAATAGAACGACCCATCATGGAAATCGCGGAAACAATCCCAGCGACGTAAAACACCATGAACAAACCAATAACCCAAGGCAACAACATAAACCCCATAAAGAAAGTAACCGATCCACACAGCATCATCGAAATCGATATCCCCAGCATCAGCCAAGCGAATCCCGCCGGAGATATCGTCGATACATCTAGCAAATGAGACCTCCTTTCTGACACCGGTGATTGATCGGTGAAAGGAACCGGCGGCGACCGCAGAAGGTTCAGAAGCAAAGCCGACAGGTCGTAGAAAACCTTCGATTGCTGATCCTGACGTCGACGGTTTTCCAGTTCTCTTCTCATCATCTTTATTGTTTCAGGAAAAAATTCCAATCGAAAATTCAAATATGATTTTTTTCTAAACCCTTTTATCAGAAGATAAAAGTAAAAAAGATTTGAGCTTTTCTTTTTCTTTTTCTTTTCTAAGAACGAGGCAAATGGATAAACTCGGGGACAAAGACAGTTTCCTAAACCACTATTTGATTGGAGATAAATTAACAACTGGAGAGTTCTGATAGCCGAACTTTGTTTGTTTCTCCGGGAATTATGGAGGCAGGGAAAAGTAAAAAAGAAAAAGTGACGCGGCGGTGCTATTATTGTTCGAATTTTCTGAAACCAAAACAAATAAAAAAAGCGTAAACTACGCCAATGGTCATTGATGTTGGGGTATGTTTTTGTTTTCATTACTGATGTTTCAAAAGTTACAAATCAATCACTAACGTTATTGTTTGTTACAAATTGGTCATTCGTCGTTAACAACCGTTAAGAGGCGTCACGGAAAACACACGTGGATCGTTAGCTGCTTACCTAGATGGTTTGATTGCCACAGTGGAGAACCTCACTTCTCCCTTTAACCAGTATTTTACCAAAAAAATTAAAAATAATAATAAAATAATAAAATGACGAGGGAAAATCAAGGGGAAATTTGATTCTCTTTTTCTTCCATTCTTCACTTCTTTCTTCACGATAGAAGCAGTTTCAGAGAGTTACAGAGAGGGTTTGAGAGAAATACAGGAAACATGAGAAAACAAATAGAGGAAAACATAGAAAGTTAGTGATTAAGAGAAAAACGAGCAACACTTGGATATAAGAGGGATTCGAAGTGATTGGGTTCAAGGAAAATTTAGGGTTTAAAGTGAAGATGGTACTGACATGGAGGCTACGACAAAAAGGGGACAAAACGATGCTTTACGGTAAGCTTCAATTTTAGTTTAAGAGAAAAGGTAGATATCTAGATTTTTGACAGAAAATTGAATGGGTTTTCTTTGAAATAATGTTGATTCTTTTTTTTATATATTTACAACTTTACTGATTTTCTATTGACAGAAAATGTATGTGGTCATTGAAAATTTAAATGTTAGATTCTTTTGTTATATGTTTACAACTTTACTTGTAATGTTTTCTGTTTATATGATCACTTTTCATGTTGATATGATATGTTATACAACTTTACAACTTTACTGGTAATGCTTTCTGTTATATGATTTCTTTCAAAATGTATATGTACTTTATATGATCACTTTATATCCACTGATGTATACACATGCATGCTATTTTGAATGTTGGTGTTTTGTGTTAAGTTGTAAAGGTTTTGACATGTAGGATATGTTGAATGTTGACTTTTGTGAAATATGTGGGATGAGTTAACTTTGTGGTTTGACATGATTGTATGTTGAATGTTATATTGTTGTAGACCATGCAATTTAATAAAATGTTCTAAATGTTGTAATGTTGTGGTCTTTAAATGTTTGAAAAATAATAGTTAATATTGTGTTCTTGTGGATCACAAGGATTTGATAAATTATGTTGACTTTGAGTGTTTATGTGTATATGTGTGATATGCTTGTAACTATAAATATTCTGAATATTGTACTGTTTTGGGCCCTATATGTTTGCATGTTGAATATTGTAATGTTATTGGACCATATGTTAATATGATAAAGTGTATATGTGTGTTATGGGTCCTACTATGCTGAATATTCAATTCAAAAATCTTGTTACAGGTCATGAAGATGAAAATTTTTCTGTTGTGTGTCACTATGGTGGATCCTTTGTACATTCACCTAGACTGAAGTTCACTGGTAACAAGATTGTTTATTTTGACTTGTGTGATTGTGACACAATCACTTTTCTTGACTTTTGTGAAATGATGGAGCAAATGTTAGTCCCTACTCCTTTACAATTATTCTGGTTAGTGTCAAATGCAAAATTAACTGAGTCTTCCATCATGTCTTTATTAACTAAGTCTTCCATCATGCATTTATCAACTGATTCTGATGTAATGAAAATGGTACATAGTTTACCTAGGAATATATATATATTCATATATATGCACAAGTTAAAGGCATAACTGAAAGTGGTAGTTATGAAAGTGGTATTGTAGAAATGGATAATGCTGAAAGTGGTGGTGTAGAAATGGATACTGCTAAAATAGGTAGCGTTGAAAGGGACAACGAGAAAGATAAGTCTAGTGATTAAGGTGTTAGAGGGACAAAAGATAAGTCTGATTTTGAAGAAGTTGTGGTAGAAGATCAAAACAATGGATCCGATGAATCAGATTCTGATTTTATGGAAACTGATGGTAAAAATTCTTTTGATGAGGAGGAGAGTTCACCTAGTATGGTAGAGGAGGATGTGATAACTATTTTTGGGGACTTGGGTAGAATGAGTTTAACAATAGATCTGATGAAATGTTTAACTCTAGTCCTATTAATTCAGGGGAATTAAACTGTGATAGAGATGCTCGTCCTACGTTTCTTGAGTTTAATAAAGAGATTGATATGAAGAACCCTAAATTTCAAAAGGGTGTATTGTTTTATAGTAAAGAGATTTTAAAGGAGGCAGTTAGGCAATATGGGAGGGTGAATAGAATAACTGTCTTGTTTAAGGTTAATGACAAAAAGAGATTACAAGCAGTTTGTAAGGAGGGTTGTCCATGGAAATTATGGGCTTCCCCATTGCTCGGTGATGATTTTGATTCTAACACTTGGCAAATTAAGACATAAGAGTCTGAACACACTTGTGCTAAGTTGTTAAAAAATAAGAATGATAGTTATAGGTTCATTGGGATCAGATATATTCTGAAATTCATGTCTGATATGAATTATTATTTGACTTCCCTCAAACAAGATGTGATGAGTGACTATGGTACATTTTGTTCTTTGACTAAATGTGGAAGGGCTAGAGAGCATGCCTTAGAAATTATTCAAGGTAAATTGAAATAACAATATGGAAAGATCTATGAATATTTACTTGAATTAAGGAATACAAATGTTGGAACTACAACTATTTGCAAATTAGATAATAAAATATTTCAAAGAATGTATGTTTGTCTTCAAGCTTGCAAAGAGGGGTTCAAAGCAGGTTGTAGAATGATTATCAGCCTTGATGGTTGCTTCTTGAAGGGTTATTATGCTGGTTACTTACTAACAGTAGTTGGTGTCGATGCTAATGGTGGAATCTATCCCATAGCATATGCTGCTGTGGAGAATGAGAATCAGTATTCATGGTTATGGTTTCTGGAAATTATTGGAAGATACTTGGACATTGAAAACTTATATGGATGGTGTTTTATGTCTGATAGACAAAAGGTTATGTTCTTAACTTTTGAATTTATTATAAAAAATTAAGCCTATTATCATCATTATTTATTAAGTTATCCTTGTAGGGACTTGTTGAAGTTGTGGCAGAGCTATTCTCTAATGCTGAAGCCAGGAATTGTGTAAGGCATATTTATGCAAACTTCAAAAAAGTTCACAAAGGAAAAGCTTTTAAGGATGCACTATGGAAAGCTACTAGAGCAACTTATGGTAGAGAATTCCAATATGCCATAACATAATTGAAGACTTTGTCTAATAATCCATTTGAGTGGCTGAAGAATCTTAACCCTCAACAGTGGTCCAAAGCACACTTCTCCACCACTACTAAGTCTGGCATGCTTCTCAATAACCTTTGTGAATGTTTTAACAAGGTAATCTTATTATAATAGTGTTTATATAAATATTATTTTTCTAAAACTCCTAACAAATTATATATTGTGCAGATCATTTTGGAAGCTAGAGACAAGCCCATCCTTACTATGATAGAGCTGATTAGAACCAAAATTATGAGGAGAATTGTTTACGATATAAAGCAGCTGAAAACATTAATGGGCCATTATGTCCAAATATTCATAAGAGGCTGAACATTATAATTGATCAAGCATCGAGGTAACTCTTTTAAACTTTTATATTTTTGTTGAGATATGTTGAAATATGCTATGAAATATGTTAAGATATGCTGAAATATGTTGAGACCATTTGAGATGTGCAGACCATTATGAATGTTGAAATATTTTGTTGAAATATGTTGTTTTTATTGATATACGCATATGTTGGGCTACACATGCTGGAGGGTTGAAATATCAGGTGGAATGTGGTCCAGGACACCAATATGTGGTGGACATGGGCTCCCACTCTTGTTCTTGTAGAAAATGGGACATGACAGGCATCCTATGTATCCATGCAGTAACTGTCATGCAACTGCACAATGATCGACCTGAACCTTATGTTCATACATGCTACCACAAATCCACCCATCTCATAATATATTCTAATTTCATTTGTCCTGTCAAAGGTGAACTACTCAACTATTTACATATAAAAGAATAATTTATGTCATGCTAATTTTCTAAACTTCTTGATTCTTTATTAATAGGTGTAACACCCCCAACCGTACCTGACCCAGATACGAATCTGAGGTATCACATCGACTATTCAAAATGTTTAAATTCATAAAAATCATAGAAAATTTAAAACTTTCATTAACATAAAATTAACAATTTACATAAGTAAGTTTAAAACATTAAAAAATTGATCAGAGCATACGTACTTTACGACTCTGTTTACATGCTAACGTATCTATTACATAAACAAAACATACTGTGCAAAGTACTTCTGATCTGATCTTTGAGTGGAGATATGTTGTTCTGCAGATCCTAAGTCTAATCCTCTTGTTTCTCCGAACCTACGTGTAAAACACTTACACGCTAAGTCATAGACTTAGTGAGGCATAAAACCATATAATAATGCATTTCCTATAAGAATGAACATGCAATGTAATTATTCAAACAACATCATAACTATCATATCATTGTTCCATCATATCACATGTGAATCATTGTAAATAATAATAACATGATAGCATATAATAATGTAAACACTTTTTATGTCTTTTATAGGCCCATTTACATTACTGAGAACTTAAGGTATTCGAGTACATTAAGGTTGTGCACATATGCTGTCACCACAACTCGTATAAGGGTCCACTGAGTGGCATGTGAAATATATCCCGAAGGACCTATGCATATGTCCCGAAAGACCTGTGTATATGTCTCGGAGGACCTATGTAACCCTCGACTCTTGGCAT